TATAATATAATATATATAATATAATATATATATATATATCATATAATATATAAAATATAATATCATTATCATATAATTAATAATATAAATAATATAAATTTTAGGTATATAATTAAGAATATTAATCAATGTGATTAATATATTAATAAATTGTAATTAATTTATATAATTTTAATTTGTGTATTACACGTGTTTAATTAGTATTAATAATTATAATATATTGTATATTATATATACAAAAAATAAATCAATGATTCTTGCAGAAAATGTTAACATTTTTATATTTCTGAAAAAATCTAATGTAAATTTCATCCATACAATTGGTATAAATTTTCTATTTATAAAAAATATAATCAGTAAAATAATTAAGAGTTTTTCTAATGAATATTAGTAAAAATAAAAAGATACAGAAAAAGTATCTTTCCCTCAAGCATTGATAAAAGATTCACTTTCATATAGAATAGGTCATATAATTTACTAATGGTGAAGGGTCAGATGGTGTCCCGAGGTCAACCGCAGACGCAACAATTCACTTTTAAGTGTCCTCTAAGAGACTACCGAAAGAGATTTCTCCTAGAAACAGTCTGGGACATTAACATAGAGATTGGCAAGAGTTTCATACATCGATCTTTCCCTCCGACTGAGTCAAGTATCCATATCCATCCGGATGGGGTTGCCAGCTAGTCGAGGAAACAAGAAAAACTCTCTCCATTTCTCTATCTCTCTTTCACTCACTCTTTCTGCCCATTTCGATGCTATTCTCTTGATATTTTCTTTTCTTTTTTTTTCCCTTTCTCTATCCTTCGATCTCACTTACTTTTCGTAGTTGAACCATCAAGGAACGTTTTCCCTTTTTTTATTTTTATTTTTTATTTTTTTTAGGGAGTTAAAAAAAAGAGAGAGAGAGAGACAAAGAAACATTGTTCTTTCGTTCATTTTTTATTTCTCTTTATTTCTTATTTTTTCTTTTTAAGTATACTTCTCATTATACTCCCACTTGTTTATCATTTATTCTTACTCTCTTTTTCCCTCTCTCTCTTTTTCTCTCTTTGACTTAAACTCTATACCTTCCCTTTTTCCCTACCCTTTCCTAGGTGCGCCAACTCGGTTCGATTCTTTCTGGGCGGAGCTCTCTTGACCATTGGCCAAAGCGCAAACTCGTTTCGTTTTACAGTTCTTCCCTCTCTCCCATCTTTTACCTCACTCATTCGCTCACTCATTCTGCGTGTATCTCTCTCTCTTTCTCTCTTTCTCTCTGGTTTTCTATCTCGCGGTTAAAATCAGAAGAATATTAAACCGAACGTTAAACGTTGGTATACTCTTGAATTACACCTCATTCTTAAATAGAAAATTTGAATAAGATCGTAAAGATCAGGATGGGAAAGACTTCGCACAAACACATACACACATGTACTTCTTTCAAAAAAAAAAATAAAAAAAATATCTTAAGATAACTCTCCTCTTTCACCGGAAACCTGAAGAAAGAGAGAGAGAAAGAAAAAAGTACTCGTACTTTGACGTGAAAGAAGAGTGTTAGATCTTAATCATTTTCTCTTTTTTTTTCTATCAAAAGAATGAACGAATGAAAAGAAAAGAAAAGATAAAAAAGAAAAAAAGATTAGATAAAGATGATTGTGATAACACCATAAGAAGAAGGATACATCGGTTCACACAAAATTCAGGCACGCGAATTGAAGAAAAATTTCAATGGGAAGAAAAAGTTTTTTTTTTTAGAGGAAGGGGATGAAAAAGGAAAATACGAAAGAGAGAAAGAGAAAGAGTATAAAAATGACGAAAGAATAAGATGGCCGTTCGGATCCTTGTGAATGAACGAACGTACGGACAAACGGACGGACGGATGGACGGGTTTTTCGGGCCCGTTATTCGCCTACGATTCAAAAGCGCTCGGTTAGAAACAAGAGACGCGCGACCGGTCGTTAGCGACAATGGGCTTTTGTTTTTTCGGGGGCAGATGTTGGACCAAAACGATGTCGGAGCGACGGCTAAGGAACGGTACGAAACGACGACCGCTAGAAAACTACCCTATGAATTTTTACCTAGCGTTGTTGAAGGTACTTTTTAAGATTAGGTTGAAGGACACCCGAAGATAATTATTATCCTTTCCGATATTTATATCCTATATAATACATTTAGATTAGATATATATAAATAAATATTTTTTACAAATATTTATCTGCATAAAAATGTTAAAAATATCTTCATCTGTAAACAAAAATAGCCATAATATAAACACATATTTTTATCACATTTTTTATACAAATAAAAATTCGTTATCATTTTTTATATAAATAAAAATTCGTTATCATTTTTTGGACTCCAAATTATCAGAATTTGTGGAAATTGATTATTTTTAGGATGTGAATTTTAATAATGGTACATATATTTTTTTTATATATATTTGGTTCTTATTTTTTTTTTTTTAGTTGCTATTAAATAATATAAATTAAAAAGGATACAATTATCTTTGTATTTGGTTGTTTAGAAAATTCGTACCGATTTATGTAATATATTATTTGTAATAAATTTTATTTCATTTTTTATATATATATATTATTTTCAAAAACAAGCAAATATATCGTATCAATACCAATTTATAAATTGTTATGACCAAATAGTTGAAAATTTTAAATTATTTACAAGATTTGATAATAATTTATAAATAATTGGATAGAATAAGTATAAAATTAATATCAAAAATATTTTGAAATATATATAAAACTCTTGTAATATTTAATATACATGTATTGGTATAAAACAAAAGAAAGAGAGAGACATATATAACTATATAGCAGTTATCTTGAGAATATAATCGATTCCACTTTCGAAGCTTGGACAAAGTTACGACATATGATAGAAGAGGGTTGCTTTGTATAGTCTATATATATATATGAAGTGAAATAAATAAGCCAGTCGATACTACGAATGGTAGTGGAGAAAAGATAACATAAAAATCCAACATTGCCCGACGAATGTAAGTTGGATTGCTTACAAATTGGTCCATACATCCGTAATGTCTCGATCACTTCTCCCATAACGTGTGTAGATCAGAAAATGAAGGAAAACCAGAGACAAAAAAGTCATCATTTCCCATTCGCGTATGAGAAATAAGCTTCCCCAAAAAAATATCAAACTTATTAATTTTCCTTACTATGATCCCACAAATCAACACAAAAGATCAAAATCAAATCTATTTTTTCTTCTTTGGTTAGTTCTTCATATTTCTAATTTCATTTATTATTATTTAAATATTTGAATAAATTCTATAATTTAAAAATGAGATTTTTTAAAGATGTTCAACACAAAAATATTATAATCTTCAAATATTTTTTTGTTAACTATAATATAAATAAGAAATAATTTAAATAATTCTAAAATAAATTTAAAGAGAAGTTTAACAAAGTAAATTAAATGTATCGATGATTTAAATAATTCAAGGATGTAATTAAAAAGTAGTTTGAAATAAGGGTATAATATTCCTATTATATTAAGAATTTTTTAATATAAAATTATATTAATTAATATAATAAATATAATTCCTATAATTTAAGACATATTTTAATTAATTTAATTTACTAGCTTCGAGAAGTACAATTAAATGTTCTCATAATTTGTTAATAATTCAATAATAACATTAAAAACGAGCTTAATAAATTATAATAATTTTTTAATTGACGTATATTTGTTGTTTTGTTTTTTTATATGATCAATGATTTTCGTATAAAAAAATGTAGAGTTGATCGCCATACCTACACTCCCCTCTTTAACGTATCTAACATTCCCGACAATGTCTTCATAGAATAGAAAAGATATACCGATAACATAGAGTACCACCATCGCAAAGATATCCTGAGGCAATGTCCTTGTTAGGACATCCGTCCCGTCAAAACGTCCAGAGGACACATCGAAGCAATTGAATTACGATCATCCCCAGGGCAAGCCCCAACCGTAACCAATAATTCCATTATCCATTAGTATTGGGTCGCACCAATTTCCTTCTACTAGGAGCATGATAGAGAAAATGATAAGAAGAAGAAGAAGAAGAAGAAAAAGGATACGTGTATTTTGACGATCGTAAGAAAGACAACAACATGCTTTGAAAACGAGAATAACCAAGAAGAATATTGAACGTCACGATTTTCTCTGACAGATATCACAATTGAATCAACGTCCAAACAAAATATTATCCCACGAACTGAATTCAACTAAACTTAGCATTAAGTTACTTGCTACGTGTTGGTTAATTTATTCTTTTGTGTATTTTAATGGATTAAAAAATTTTTATTCATTTATTTAGGATATTTAATTAATGATATCAAATTATTTCACAATTGTTATTTCTTTTCTTTTTAATTAAGATATGTTGCAATGTTTTTGGAAATGTATGCAGTTTGTTTAACGTGCCTTAATCTGATAGCAATTATTCTATTATAATTATATCTATTTTTAAAAAATATCTAAGTTATTTAATTAAATATTTGGAATTTATTTATATTTTTATTATTTAATTCAACATGTATTTTTTATAATTTATTTGAGAAAATACAAATGCTCAGTCGTACTATGCAAATTATCTAACAACCCTCGAAATAAAAGAATTAAATAATTATTAAAACTATCAAGGCTTAAAAATTAAAACTCTTTCAAACAATATAATATGATCACACTTTTCATTAATAAAATAAAATAAATAATTAACACAAACCGACTTCTTTGTTCCTTAAATAACAAAAATAAAATTTAATTTAATTACA